GTATAATATTTGTAATAGTATATATTATGGTATAACACATTATTTAGAAGTTGTATGATGATTACCATTTGTTTTCATATAAAACTGTCATACGTAGTTCTCACAGTTAACACGGTTTGAAACGTATGCATACCATAATTCTTAGGGAAGCATTTCTTGCCAAATATGAAGCTGTAGCTTTTTGTAATTGATGACTATCAAAATAGGCTTAATGACATTTATGAGTGGGTTGGCAAGCCCAATGATAAGTCAGTTGTTCCTTAGGATATGGAAAGTGGAACTTGCAGTTATTGCTAGTGAGAGTCTTTATTAGGCAATAATCTCAAGGGGCTAGCAAGGATGAAACAGTGACATCTCTTCCACATATATCTGCAAATCTTAATGATGAAATCAGATACAATGACTTTATTTTTCTTACTCTGAACAGCTGACTTTAGCCAGTATTAATCTTGTTTTCTGATTATGGGTATATCACAAACAAGGTCAGCCTCAGACAGCTACCTTTTGAGAAAACTAAGCAAGAGTTAGTTGGTTCTTTAAGACAAATGGATCTTATAAAGAAGAAATCATACAGGCTTATAAGAAAAAGAATCACCTTGTTTCAGTTATTTCTTAATGTCTAACAAAATAACAGACAAAAGAACGTCTGGACACTGAACTGTGTCTACTAATACATAATAGACTCATATTTCAAAGCCTGCATGCATATACTGTGCTTACTGGATCCTGATTTATTAAGTCATAATAGAAATAAGGATGCATCTTATTCCATCAACTTGTTTTCACTCACAGAAAGATTTTAGGGTTAATATTAATTTTAAATCAAATGGAAAAAAGCCCACCATGATACACTAAAAGAATACTTGATTTGTTGAAATATTACAGGAACTCAAATAAATCTAATGAAATTTTTTACTATTGTAAATAGAAAATTAACTCAGGCTTAAAATTTTCTTTAAATACCAATCAGTCCTCATCAAACAACATCAGTCAAACCGACACTATAATAAAGTTGCATGGATCTACCATAATTTATTTTAAAAATCCAACCCCAATCAATAATATTGAAAATTGTGGGCAGATCATAAATTCACTAGAGTAGGTAATTTGAATTTTGTACAAAGATATTACTGAAGTTTACAAAATTCATTTACTGTCTTTTTCAGGGCTAATTTCATTAACCAACCTTGAAGAAACAAGCTGATGAATGTTCTTTACTCAAGGTTTTACGACTAAATTAAATTAGTCCTTCAGCATTGTACATCATTTCTGGAGGGGTTGAGAGAGATGAGCTTTCAGATATGTTCCCTTTCCCGATGAGTATTGGCAACACACAGCCTTATGTTTGAATTTATTTCAAATGCCTCCTGTACCCGCCTATACTACAGAAAGAAAGGACTTTAATATCAGTAGTGTTGTGCTCTTAGATTTAACATCCTAGCTAATACAGAGGCCCACTGCAACCCCAAACGCAGAAGCACACTAAGCAGACTTTATTGTTAGCATGTTTTGAACCCAAATACAAGCACACTAGTATAGTATAACTGTATAAACATTCTTGTAATCAACTGCCCAGTAAAAATAGCATTGCCATTGCTGCAACGTGCCACAGGCCCTTCACTACTTATGCCTTATCCTAGCCATGTAAGGCCTTCATTCTGCTCCATAAGCTTTCTTATTAACTTAAGACAATTCGCTATGTAAACTGGAGATAAACACCAAGGATCTCTTGTTAGAAGATGAAATTTGTATGTGGGATAACAGTAAAAGCCTTGAAATCATTGGCACAGGTTGAAAGATAAGGCCTTAACCTAAGAGTTAACAAAATACATATCCAAATTTCATTTATATTTTAAACTACACCTTTGAATAGCATAAAGGATAAGAGTCATTCTATCTGACAAGCTTCTGCTTTAACACTGGACAGCAGAACACTGAAGTACACCTTTTACAAGAGACAACTAAGCAAGGACTTCCTTAGCTGAAGATAACAATAACAAAATATTTTAAGAGTTACTATAAACATTAGACAGTAGGCCACTTAAAGTAGTTACTGGCCTTGTTGAGCTCTCTTCTAATTTTCTCCGGACCAAACTGATCAAGAAAACGTCTGAAGTGAAATGCATCTATTGCGACAATTTCAGTGTAGCGTCGCTGCCATTCATCCCTAAAGTTGAAGGGAGAAAAAAAGTAGATGAAATTAGTTGTTTTATACTGGCCATATAATCATGATCCAAAATTAGCAATTCCCTGCAGAGCTTCTCTGTTAGAAGCAGCTAGAAAGGTGAGCTCATAACAGACAATGGACCACTTTTTAAATTTGTGGGTAGGGAATGAAAGCAGCATCAGAAATGAGATATGTCTCCCTATAAATTTAGAAATTCTCTGGCTAGACTTTAGGCACAAACATGAAACAAATCTAATCATACAGCACTATTTAATAAGTACGTAAGAACAGCACAAAGTCAAAGAAAAGCACTTTAGCTCTCTGTCTTCTTCCAACACTTAAAAGAGTACATTGTGTATTTTTCTATACCAAATGAATAATTTTGTGTACACGCTGTAACAAGACTGTTGGAGAAATAAAATCAAGAGCTTGAGCTTTCTATTCCGATCTATGATATTAGGTTTTATATAGCCACGTATCAGCTGGCATCAGGTACTGTGGCAGCTGAGGTACCATTGTCAAACTTCTTGTGACATTACAATCCATAGTTCAGTCGATAGTTTCACAAAATTTTGGATTAAATACATAAAACTAAAACATGTTGATTTAAGAGCTGACATATTGGCAGGTATCATTTATTAGCATTAATATCTCATTATTAATATGAGAACTTTCTTAGCTTGTTGGCTCTGAAGAGAGCAGGACCAAACAGTGAATTTCTCTATTAAGGCAAATGCTAGGAAATACTTAAAGCACCAAGTTTTCAAATATATAATATTTATTTATTTATTTCTTCACTTGAAATATTTATGTGGAACTCTACCTTGGGGTCTTATCTTCATGGCTTCTTGCCCACCGGTAAGTTTCTGCATAGCCTATATACTCACTGTACTGCTCAGTACCTGAAAGAAATTATTTTCCATATTACACACAAACAGTGTACATTTTTTGCACTTGGAACATCCATCACAGGAATTGCTGCTTCTCCAAATGAAGACACAGCTCTCAGAAGCAGTAGAAAATAGAAAATTCATATTGGCACCAAGAATGCAAGATCTGCTTGTAACCAGTAGAAGCTCCTTTCCACAGAATGTGTGTAGCATCCACCATAGGACATTAGAAGTGCAGATCTACATATGCTGGTCAGTATATAACAAGATCATTTTCAACTTTGCCACTCTCAAGTTCAATAGCTTCTCAATAAACTGCCTGTCATCTTTAAAGTTTTACTGGCTAGTATCTGGTTAACAAAAACTGTGAGGACTGTGAGCCTTTGCACCACCAGCATTTTGCTTTTCTTTTTTCAGGCTACTGCCTGTAAACACGATGATAAAATAGTTACCCTGCTATTGAAAGTGTGGCAACCCTACTTCATCATAATTCAGCAAACATCTGGGCTGACAATTTAGGAAGCACTAGAAGAAATAAAAAGAGATTCAAAAGTGTATGTGGTGAGTTATACATTTATACATTTTATTTTTCCAAGAATTTTTATTTCTCCAACAAAATTACAATCCAAAAGACCAAAGAAAACCTAATGGTCAGAAACTAAGCAGATTTTCAACACCACCAGTGTTTCCAATGCACACAATTTGTTGCCCTGCAGTGTCTTGAGGGCAACCTGACAGAAGGATAGGTAGGGGTGCTAAGCTTCCTAGTCTCTTTGCCCAATATACCTCTTCCCCTTATTTTCATTTAATCAGCATGATTTCTGCACTATGGTTCCTGACATGAATTCTAAGATATCACAGCTTAATGGCACTGAATGGACCAAAAGGCCACTGCTCTCAGCTTCAGTAGTCGGTACTAAGCAGCTACTTCTGTGAAAGCTCGAGGACCCACAAAACCATGGTCTGCAACATACTTGGCTGCTCTGTGAAAAAATCCAGTGGAATATTTTGGCAAGCATTAAGGTCTGTAAGGAAGCAGCTTATTAAGACCTACAGTCATTTGAGCTATTATGCTGTGCTATGGCAGCTCCCTTTCAAAGGTTTATCCTAAGACAAAGAAGGAGGCATTTTAACTGACAGTAAGGATCATAATCTTTCTTGAAAGACTGCCTTTCACCTCATTTTACCAAACTTGGTTCAAAACCTGAGGATGCACAAAGAAGAAATACTTCTAAAGCAATGCCACAGCAAAATCACAACCTTTCCCCCTGGGTTGAGCTCGCAACAGCCGAATTTCAAAAGTAGGGGACTAAAAAGAATACCTTGTTTGGAAAATTTCAACTCACAGGTATAGTTTGGCATAAGTTATAAACAATAAGAGTAAGAAGAGAACTGTTAAGCACCCCCTTAACTGCAAACAGTAACACCAGCTACACCTATAAATATAACAGAAAAGTAGGTTTTAGACGTCTGACAGCACAAAACATCTGATTACTAAGAGTAATGCCAGCTATTGCACACATCAAGTGATACCCTGAAAATACAAATGTTTCAATTTAATCTCAAAGTTTTTCAATCTCTAAATAAAAATAAAAGTTGAACAATCAGAAACATAAAACTCTTCAGTTTTAACTTCATCGGACAAGGGAATAGGAATGTCTGCTTTCAGTAGTAGGAGGAAACACAAGCTGTTAAAACCTGATTAAAATGATGCATATACTTCAAGACATTTTCCCATATTCATTTTAACTGAAAAGACTTCTCAGTGCTTCCTTAACTCATCTGCCCTATTACCCACGCATTAGTTATTTACATTTGTCAAGATAATTAACCATACTGAGGACACACAAATTCCACTCAAGGCTATTTTGAGAAGTTGCTATGTGAAATGAGTGGGATGGTAAAAGACTCATCAACAATTCACTTCTTGTTACAAAATCTAAGTCCCCAAAGTCGTGATGGCAGAATATGACTATATATTCACACACATCCATGCCCTCATACAAACGACAACTGTAAGCTGCTTAAATACTGAGAAGTCGGCCTTCTAATCAAATTGTAGGCTATCAACCTTCTGTAAGACTTTTTCTGACAAAGGTAAAATTCAGTTTCACTGCCACGCTTGGAAGAAGTGTTGGAACAAATAGTAAGAAAAGACAGACAAGGAAAGTATGTGACTTTATGAGAGCTCTCTTTAGGGGACAGCCTAGCAAAACTTCCAAATTTGAAAAGGAAGCATTTCCTTTGGTCTCTAGCGTGTGGAAAGAAAAGATGAGATTATCAAGAAATTGTAGCGGGATAGATTAAATGACAGTCAAAGTATTAAGCTGACTTTTTCAAGGTTCATTGTTTTCATTAATTCTTATTGAAGTGCAGTGGCTGACGACAAAAGCACCAGGAAACAAACAAGGCAATACACACACAAAAGATTTTAAATATATTAAAATCAATAACAGAGAAACTCACAGAAATCACACAAACTCTAAACTCATGTCCCAGAAAGCCAAAGTTACTGAAAATCAATGGATTTTCATAAGTGAAGCTCTGGAAATCTGTCAGACAAAACCAGTTATTTCAACTGGCAGCACTTCTGCATGTGAACTACTGGGATACAAACTGCAGTTGCTGGGAGAACAGAAGCAGTACAGGATAAACTGGATATGCTAATGGTTCTGGTGAATCTTTTTTCTTCACATAAAAAAAAAAAATGAAAAAAAGGGGTAAAAAGCCCAAGCCAAAAATACAGCATAATAGCACGGTTCCATCAGAACTTTAAAAACAAGCTATGAAACCTAAAAAAAAAAGCCTACCTAAAGTCAAAAGCAGCACACACAAGTATCATGCAAAAAAGACATTCTTTGTGCAACTTGTAATAGCTACAGCATCAGACAAACAGTGAAATTGCCACGTGTTAGTGCTTATGGGACCATATTCATCTAGAAAGAATTGCAATTGTTATTAAAAATAAATATAGCTTTATGGACTCCATAGTCTAGCCTTCCATTTGATCTGTATGGCATGATAAAGTTCCCAGGGATCGGGAAAAAACCCACCATACTGTTTCTCTAGTATTCCTTAAGAAATAGTAATTAATGCCTGTGAAAAGGCAGTACCACTAGCACTCAATAAAAGAGTACATGTGAAAAGCACAACAGTGGAGTTGCACTAACATAAAGGCACATTTACTGCAAAAAGTGAGGGGAAGGTCTTCTCTTCCTTTCAGTTAGTTCTGATCCTTATCTTGTGCCACCTCTAGTCTTCAGGCTCTCTCCAGACAGTGGCACAACCAGCCTGCTTGCATTGGGTTTGTGTGGTAAGGTTTTGGTAACTGAGAAGGATACAGGGGTGGCTCCTGTGGGAAGCTGCTAGAATTTCCCCTGCGACTGATTAAGCCAATGTCAGCCAGCTCTGCGACTGCCAAGTCCAAGCCCATCACCAACGGTGGTAAGCACCTCTGGGATAATGCATTTAAGAAGGGGGGGGCGGAACTGAAAACTGAGATAATGAGAGAGAAACAGCTCTGCAAACAGCAGGGTCGGTGAAGAAGGAGGGCAGGAGGTGCTCCAGGCACAGGAGCAGAGGTTCCGCAGCCTGTGGTGCTGACCATGGTGAGGCAGGCTGTGCCCCTGCAGCAGCCCATTGAGGTTAATGGCAGAGCACATCTCCACCTCCACAGGGAGGCCCCCAGGACAGAGGAGCAGGTGGATGCCCCAAGAGGCTGTGACCCTGTGGGAAGCCACGCTGCTAAATCCAGCTGAAAATCAGTTTTTTCCCTCTGAGTAAATTTTCAGCTGAACCAATTATCTGATCTCATTTACTGCACGGGTAATATGCTTAGAAGTCTCTGAAAATGCATTGCTGAAGAGTAGTCAAGACTGGCTGTTGTTCAGTCTGTAGATTTAAAGCAAACGTGGAACACAGCTTCATCTGCTCTCAGCACTGCCTGAGTAAACATGAAATCAAAGAGGAGGGGAAAAAAGGGAAAAGAAAAAAAGAAAGAAGAAAAAAAGGAAAACAGAAAAAACCCGAATGAAAAACACTGACGTTTATTCACAGCTCTACCAGAAATGCAGCTGTGAGAGTCTTTGGCATTGCTGCCAACATTTCTGTACATAGATGTTTGTGTTGAAGAACTTGACTGTTTGCATGACCAGTTCCATATTCATTATAGCAGTGATCTTAACCAGATACTGTGCAATCACAACAAATTTAATTTCTTTCCAATTTCTCAGACTCTTCTGCAAGTTTAAGCTACACAGTTATACCCATTAGGGCACTGAATCAAGATGCATCACAAAGAATGTAATTTATCAAGAGGATTGTGAGACATGCAGTGGAGACTTGGCTAAGAACCAAGGTGGAAGAGCTCCAGGGCTGAAATGAAAATGATGGAATGGCCATTTCCATTAGAGAAGAACACATCACAAATACTAATTGCAAAACACTGTAAAGTACTCAAGAAAACGAAAAGAATATTGCTGCAGTGAAAAAACATCCTCAGCTTTATTCATTCATGTCAAATCACCGGGTTTTTTTGCAGGGGAATGGAAGGTCTTTAAAAACATTCATATAGTGGTTTCCTCCAATCAGTTACTATAGAGAGTCATAACTGTGCTATGTTTTCACCCTCTGCCCAGAACAGCCTCACCCAGAGGATAATACTTCAGTATATTAATCTTGTTATAGTATCATATCCAAAATACACAACAGAAATCAGCAATGGCCAAGAATTTTCTGACTCATTTGTTAAAAGGTAATTGCAAAAGCCGATTTATCAAAAAGTTTTCACAGAAAAGGCAAAACAGGGTGCGGAACCAAAATAAAACACTGAAAAAGGTTACCAAGTATAAGACTGAAAACAAAATAGGTGCTGCCCAGGATAATCAATAGCTCAGGGCAGAGTGAGATTTGCAAGATCCAAGCTTAAATTTCTACTGTGCATGCATGTGAGAGAAGGAAGTGGTTTGGAAGGACTCTTCCAAGAAATCTGTTCTAATAACTGTACAAATACCTGACTGTTGAGGCAGCTCAGGTAACTAAACGAAAAATGTTTACCATAGCAGACTGAAAAACATAAAATATATATAATCTATTGCAATATTTGCCCAGAGGATCTCTCTGATCAAATATTTTTAATTTATAGCTGCTCTTTAGAGTAAATAAAAAAATATTACAGCATAATCTTATTTTTCAGTCATATCAAACGCTCACTGTGTTCCCGTGTATAGAACTAAGACACACACAGCATGACCTGGGCCTCTCCAGTTCTTAATAGTGACATTTGGTGTTTTGGTGCTGGCTGTTTGATCCGATAGATAATAAAGCATTCCAAGTTCTATGACAGAGTTGGGAACAAGATCAAAACCACTTTCAGCAAAGAAGTGGACAGACAGCATAGCTCCATACACAGCCTCTCAACAACATACTGCAGAAGCCTTTAGGCTTTTGACGTTGTAATTACAAACCCGTAACTAACTTAGAAATAACACAAACACATGTTTGTAAGAGATTTTAAGAGATTTCCTGACTTTCTACCCATATTAATGGATGTCAGTTTTCTCCTCTTCCACTTCTCGTTTTTGGTAACCAGAAGGCTGTTCCTCTTCTCAGTTTTCAGTCCCACTGATTGCACCAAATGTTACAAATTCCAGACAGGAACAAAAACAACCCTGCTTTAATGTTACAGAGCGTTACCTGCTAATAGCTGAGACCACCTAATAGTTGATAATTGTGGCTTTTACCTGTATCACCCACAGTATTCTTCAGCTAGGACTAAAGACCTCAAACAGATTTATATAGCGTAAAAAAGTTCTGTCTGCTTGCTGCAATTTTGTTTGTTTCCTTCACATAACATATATTAACAGCAGTCCTATGGTCTTAAGAGGTGGGGTGAAGAAGGAAGCCATCAAATGAGTATTAGCTTTTTTTCTTCTTTTTTTTCTTCTAAAATGTTTTTCTTTAAACATTTTAAACTTCAACTTAAAATATATTTTCTACATATAAAAACGGACTAAGATGTGAAACATTTTCTGCAAAGACTAACCTGTGATGATAAGACATTCATTGTGATCCAAGACTTCAGTGATGAGCCTCGACACAATCAGTTCTGGGTTAATTAAGAAACGAATTTCTTCTTGTACTAGTCCTGCCCCAGTCACACCACCTCCAACAAAACGGTTTGCAAAATCAACCTAACAAGAACATATTCAGGATTATGATATAAGGCAAACAGCATAAAATCCTTTCATTTACCAAAGTAAATGGTCCTGTACAAACTTCAGTAACTGTTGAAATCTGCTGCGATCACTTAAAAATACAAAACCGGATTAACAGCATGCCTTTTTTCTCTCCCCTTTCTATTTCTCAGAAAACCAGGTGAGATATCACACAGCAAAATACAGTTTTGCATCTCAAACACTCTGAATCCAAGTTCTGTGTGTTTTCTTTGAAAAGCACCCATTTAAGAATAAAACACATTTCAGTAAATGTGAAAGATGAAAACAGCAAATCACAGTACTATTTCTGAATTTTTTGGACATTGAAGAATTATTAAGTTGTCCTTTCATAGCATTCTGCCGCAGTGGTCCACACTGAGGTATTTTTAGATTATCATTGCCCCCATACCAGTTGTTCTGTATCCTAAAGAATCTCTTATCAATTCTTTAAATGCACTTGAACAAGGCAAGTAATTTTGATCATTAAGGTTTCTGCTTGAAACAGAGCAGCTCTGGACTCTATTTTTTGCAGCAATTATACATATTTTGCAAATTACATTTTTAAATAGACAACAATCCTTTTAAGAATTTGGTTTATGCAAATTAACTGCCTATATAAATCTGTAATTCTTATGTCACTTAATCTTTCAAATGATATTGGCTTCTTACTGTTTGGGTTTTTTTTGATAGCTGATGAAAGCACATTTACAGGAGGGGAACAAAACTTGTTGGAATGACATAAACATCTTTGTAGATTACAAACTGATTCAGGAGTCAAAGAGTGTAAAGCCAGCCACTAGAAGCACAAGCAGTCCTGAATTCTATCCTGGAAATACCAACACACTTAAATAAGTTGTTTAAGACTTGCTGAGCTTAAGCTTGAGCAAAAAAGAAACATGAAAGCTTCCCAAATGTTAAGTGCATCAGGACCCCAAATGCACTTTAACTGTTCTCAGTAGCCTCAATCTTAGTTCCCCATCCTCACCCCTCCACATGGCTCCCATACAAACACACACCCTTGTCCTGGACCTCACCTGTAATGCATAGTGCATGGGCCCATGCCCAGCTCTGTCCTTTGCTGATACCCACTTGCTGATCAGCTGTCTAGGACTGACCTTGTCTAGGACTGACCTGACTCATCACCTTGTTTTTGTCTGATGACCACCAGCCTGTCAGCAGAAACTGTTTTGTCACCATCCCTGATCTGCTTGTCCCAGCCAGCCAACTGAGGCTAGGGTCACTGGGGACTCCTGCATTGCCTTGGTCATCCTGCTCCCTCCTGGAGTAAGCATTCTTTGAGCAGAGATACTTTGTTTGGTAAGACTTGAAATTGCCCAAGATGTGATATTTTTCCTCCTGGCTATACTCACTTCTACAGAATGCAACAGAAAAAGTACACAAAAAGGCATAGTTCAACCTTCTCTCACCTCTGAGTGAGTTGAAAAGATAGCACAAAACCAGTCACTATGGAGCAGCTGAGTGCTTAATAATTTCAATACATGAGATTTTAATGTTTGAGTGAAAAGCATCACAGAAAGTCCTCCATTTCTCCCTCCTCCTCTTCCTCTCCTGGCTAAAGAAGCTGAAAATTCTTTGGTAAATGAACTCTAGAATGCAGACATACTTACCTTTTTTTTTTTTCCCTTTTTTCTTCCAGAAAAGTAAAAACCAAACAACTCATTTGAAAACTCAAATGTGTTCTTTCCTATAGATACAGACAGGACACCCTCCTCATGCGTTTTTTTTTGCTGACTGCTTCCCAGACCAAAACAGTGGTGCTGGCAGCAGCAGCAAAGTCTCTTGAACCATTGACCTGGTGACTGTCTGGGCACACAAACAATTTTTCAAAAATAAACTGAAGCCCTTGACAACTCATCAAGATCACAACCTGAAACTTTTATCTTGTCAATCTTTGATCCTGGTTTGAACCAAAAGACCTGAAGCTGTCCAGAGCTTGTGATTTTCTGTCAGCCTTTTCTGTACCAGGTACATGTGCAAATCTGGATGAGCTGGGGAATACTGACAACACTAAGACTGTCCATGGAATTAATTTTGATGTTTCTTTTACACTGCATAACATCTTGCCATTTAAGTCAATTGCAGATAAACAAATAACTTCATTAAGCTGGCATATCATAGAAGTATGACAGAAACATGACAAAGCCACAGTTACTGTTATATGTGCTTACCTGTAGCATACCTTGTCCATTGCTTTCAATGGTGCCTTCATACGTGACATGCAATCGAGACAGTTTTTTCTGAGATCTACCATAGGGAAAAATAATGTACAGAAATGATGGTTACAGAATCTCCACACAAAGACATCCATTCTAAACAAACCCATCCAAACCCAAACTTTGCACACGTTTTAAACAAAAGGTGGTTTAAAAAGAACCTCTGATGGATTAAAGAAAATGCATCTGCCTTTCAGAAATCATTTGTAAAGGTTTAACATAGTCAATTCCTCAGTTTCTCTGCCTTTATCACCATAAAATACAAAACTGGAAATTGTAAGTTCTACATTTTTCACAAGTTTGCCCCACATTAACTTGGTAACCAGCAAGAAAGCTGCAACACCTGAGTTTTCATGCTGGTTATCACCCATACTTTATTACATTTCCTGTCATTTCTGAAATCAAGTCATCTCTTTTTTTTCCCCACTCAACCAACAGCACCAAAAATGTGCTGCTGTTTTAAAAATTCACTTAAGACTTGTTGACTTCACAGGCAAAAAAAAAAAAATCATTCTGGAAAACTCAGGACACTTGAGCTACATGTGGCAGTTCACTTACTTCCCTCTGCACATCTCTCTATAACAATTCATATGAAACATTCTTTTCTGTAGTACTTCCAGGCCTGAATCAATACCATATGAATGGGATTCAGTTATCATTGACTTAAGAAATTTCTTATATTAACAAGATGCTTGACTTACCTTTCCCAGTCTGGAAATTCCTGGAGACACTGCCTTGTAAACGTCACCAATCCTGTGGGTTCTACAGGCAAACCAATCCCAGAGAAAAATACGTATTAACTGCTGGAGCTTTTGTCCTTAGATTATTTTAAGTGGTAAGCTTTCAAAATTACAATAATCATTCTTGGCAGAAACAGAAAAGCTTAACTTTCCTCAAGAGTAGCTTTGAATCTTCCCCTGACAGCCCATGCTCAAATCGAAAACAAGTAGTATGAGAAGACCAAAATATTCCTCTTTCCCCTTTGGAGTCTGAGTCTTTTTCTTTTTCCACATCCAGAAAAAACTACTTCTTAAGTGATTTTTCACTTGTAAACACTACTAGAAAGACTCCATAGTTGAAATAAAATGTGCTGCCACTTAGTTAAAAGAACTGTGAACCTTTATAGAAGTGATTACTGTTCAGTGTGAACAGGCAACACAGAGTACTCAACCTATGGGTGGATGAAGCAGCAGCTCATATTTCCAAGAAAGTCCTATATGTCAATAAAGATGCAGTGTTACTGGATTTCCAAATCAAGTCATTTTCAGCCCTGCCAGGATGCTAGTGAAGTTCATGTATTTCACAGAAAAGACTCCTTCCCTCATTCAATTACCTTTTACAATAAAAAGAGTTGCAAAATTATTACAGTAATTTATAGAGCTAAATTACTTTAATCTTACTAATTCCTTGGACAGAAAAGAACAAGAAATGGGGTCTTTCAAAGTTATGATAGGAATTTTTAACTCAAGGAAAGAGCTCTCGAGAATCTTATTAAAGTTATAATGTTAAGAAATCTAATACAGTAGTTTTATAAAGCATGTTTCCAACAGATCTCATATTACATGGGGTCAGGGACAGCTGCATAAATTTAGGATTTAGTTTACATGAAAACATTATTACTTAAATATTGAGAAAAAGGTAGTACAATATTTGTCTTCTCAGTCCCACACATAGATCAATTTACTTTCTACCTCAGAGATTTAGTTCTATTGACATTGCTGAAAGTTTGATAATTTAACCAGAATGCACCTGCAATTCATTTGTGGTGAATTAAAATGATGAACTGAAGATGGACTGAACCAAGTAAAGGGATTTTTATGTTTAATTGCTTAAATCTGTGTTTCTTTTAAAACAAACCTTTCTGAGAGAATATAAAGCCAACAGTGAAATACTAACATGTAAAGAAAAAATTCTTCAAAAAAAATCACCAAAACCCCCAAAAAAGGATATTTCTGCAGATGTGATGTATGCTACTGCAGTAAAATCTCTTTCTCCCCCAAAATACAATATATAAGCTCTGATACAGTTCTCAGAAAAATAAATTATCTTTGAAGTCTTATGCAGATGCTCAAATTCATGGTAACAACAGAACCTAAGACTATGCACACCAAGGAAAACATCACACTAACTTCTAAAAGTCTTGCTATCACCTGTTTTATTTGAACTGGGCAAACTTCACAACAGCTTTGCTTTGGGACAACAGAAGAGAAAAAACCTAAAGTATCAACATAAGTAGGGGAAATCCCTCAGAACTACAAATGTTATAGTCAAAGGACTAAACGTGCATACTGCAGGAAATCTGAAGCTTGGTTCATAATCCTTAAGCCTGTGATTTTAATGACTACATATGGTGCTAAGTTTCCTCTGCACTCACTCTGATGCTGTGCATTTGCTGCACATATTGTACAAACATTATGTACAAACAACTACGTGATACATACCTATATTTATATTTATACATTTATATACACACACACTTTATATATACACATGGAAAGGTGAAAATATATCTGTATATAT